GAGGGACGAGATTCGGGAGGGAGGGAGAGGAGGACAAGGAAGGAGTGAGGAGCGAGGAGAGACGAGGCGGAGGACGAGGACGTGAGGAAAGAAGGGATAAGCGGCAGAAGCGACTGAGGATGAGGGGGAGGTGGAGGGGTTAGGAGGGAGCGAGGAGGCAGTGCAGGAGGAGGAGGAGGAGGAGGTGGAGCAGGAGGAGGAGCAGGAGGAGGAGCAGGAGCAGGAGGAGGAGGAGGAGGAGGAGGAGAGAGGAGGAGGAGGAGGAGCAGGAGCAGGAGGAGGAGCAGGAGGAGGAGGAGGAGGAAGAGGAGCAGGAGGAAGAGGAGCAGGAGGAGGAGGAGCAGGAGGAGGAGCAGGAGGAAGAGGAGGAGGAGGAGGAGGAGGAGGAGAAGGAGAAGGGCCGCATCCGACCTCGAGGCACATCAGAGGCTTCGCTGGGCCCTCACAGCGGTCCTCTCCCCAATGAGAGTTCCAGCTGTTCTGCACCCGCCAGTACTTGGTGCCATTCTCGGTGCCCCAGCCGACCATCTTCACGGCGTGCCACCCGATGAAGGCCTCCCCCCCGAGGCGGTGGTAGATCCCGGAGATGTACATCTCGAACGTCGGGTGGACCTTCAGGGAGGTCTGCACGGGGCCGTGGGCCATCATCTGCCGTGCAATCTCGTCGATCTCGCCGCCGAAGCCGATGAAGAACATCATGGGCCCGCGGAAGCGGTACCGGGCATTCTCGAAGTCGTCGTAGGGGGCCTGCGCCTCGGGGTCGCACCTCTCGGGGCACGAGGGGCTCGCCCCCGCCTGCCTCCGCGAGCGAAGAGCGGTATATAAAATAAACTGTTTCGCTGTCGGGGGCGCCTGTCCCTGGGCGGCTGGAAAGTTTATACCCCTGCGGTGCCACCGTAAGGGTATAAACTTTCCAGGCGCCCAGGGACAGGCGCCCCCGACAGCAAAAAAGTTTGATTTCTACCGTTCTTCGCCCGCTAACTGCCTCTCCGCGCACGACGCGAGGGAGCCGTCGGTCCGCTGCGCGGCGTCGGCGTGGTGGTAGCAGGGCGGCAGCGAGTAGGCCTTGCAGTAGCCCGACCTGTTGCCGCCGGGGCCGCTCCGAGCGTACGGGCTCCCAGTCGACAGGCCCCTGTCCTGGAAGAAGAGCAGAAGGAGGAGGAGGATTCGCGGAGGAGGGAGGGAGGAGGGAGGAGGGAGGAGGGAGGGGGAAGGAGGGAGGAGGGAGGAGGAGGAGGGAGGAGGGAGGAGGAGAGGAGGAGGAGGAGGAGGAGGAGGAGGAGGGGAAGGAGGAGGGGATTTCCATATACACAAACTTCTGGAGGTCCGCGAGGATCTCTTGGATCGGCGCTGGGCCCCCCTCCCCTGGCGCGGACCTCCGAAGGCCTGTGCGGGTGCCGGCTCTACTTGTAAGTCGGGCCTCTCTCCCTCTACAGGAGGAATATTGCAAAGTGGCCAACAAATACTATGAGGACGACTGGTTGAGCATTTTCGAGCCTTTCTGGACCATTTTTTGAGCAGGGGGGACGCGCCCGCCTCTACAGGAGGAATATTGCAAAGTGGCCAACAAATGCTATGGGGACGACTTATTCAGCATTGTCGAGCCTTTCTGGACCATTTTTTGAGCAGGGAGGCGCGCCCGCCTCAGTCACACTTCATCCCCAGACGTCCGCCGATCTGTTCTTTTTTTCAATCCGCGGCACCATGGGGCCCCGACCCCTTCCCACGGGGGCGGTGTTTCGCCCCGGCTCCACGCTTGCTGCCCCCCGGGGCCCAGGACCGGGCCCCCGAGGGCCGAAGGTCCCGGCATAATCAGATCCTCGGATCTCTGGGTCGATGTCCTCGGACCTCTGACAAAAATCAAATACTCCGCGCCCGCAGCCTCGCGGGCCGGGCCCTTGGGCCGCGTCCCCGCGGCGACGGGGCGCTTTTTCGCGGACGCCCCGCGCGGAGCGCATCCGTGGGACCGCGTGTCCGCGGGATCGCGCCCCGAATCCCGACCTCGGGGACGCGGATGTGGATACGTTCGCCACTCTTGGGCCGACGTCCTTCACGAAGAACCAGGCCTCCTCCATGGACCCCCCGTCGCAGCCGTGGCTGCGGCCCTTGGTGCAGAAGCAGAGCTCCTCCTCGGAGAGCTGGACGGCCACGCTCCCCTCGGTGCCGGCGGAGGAGGAGAAGGAGGAGGCGGAGGGGGATGGGGGAGGGGGAAGGGGAGGGGGAGGAGGACAAGCTAGGTGCGCTCGCGTCATATCTGACGTCCTACCCCTCCCTCCCATCCCTTACCATGGCGCTGATTTTCTCTATCCGCGGACGCGTGTCGTAGCGGACCTGTGGCTCCGCGCGCGCGTGCGTAACTAGTGGGTTGTGGTGAGCGTTCGGCGTGCGTGCGTGTAGGGTGCGTGGTTGTGGTGGTGTGTGTGGTTGGTGGTGGTGGTGGTGGTGGTGGTGGTGTGGTGGTGCTGGTGGTGGTGGTGTGGTGCTGGTTGGTGGCTGGTGCTGGTGCTGCTGGTGGTGCGTGGTGGTGGGTGGTGGTGGTGGTGGTGGTGGTGGGTGGTGGTGGTGCGGCGCGGTGGTGGCGGGCGGATGGGCGCGCGAGAAAAGAGGCCCGCGCTGGGGCGAGAACGCCATCCTGAACGACGGAGGCCAAACACCGATCCGAAAATGAGGCCCACGCTGCAGCGGGAGCACGATTCGGAACGATTCGGGAGCAGAAATGAGGCCGGCGCCTCAACGAGAGCAGCATTTTGGGAAAAAATGACGCCGGCGCCTCAGCGAGAGTCGTTTCCCGGGATTTCCCGGGCATCCTGTGTGTAAAAAAACAGTACGCGGAGGGGTGCCAATATCTCCGGACGCCATCAGGGGAAGTGGAGAGTATTTTCATATTGTGTAATTGTGGAGGAGGAGGAGGAGGAGGAGGAGGAGGAGAGGAGGAGGAGGAGGAAAAAAGAGAATGATGATGATGATGATGATGATGAGGAGGAGGAGGAGGAGGAGGAGGAGGAGAAGGAGGGCGAGGAGGAGGAGGAGGAGGGAGGAGGGGGAGGAGGGGAGGAGGAGGAGGAGGAGGAGGAGGAGGAGGAGGAGGAGGACGGGGGTCTCTATAGGTTGAACTAAATACTGGGGAAAGACGACAAACGAACTGATTTTCCTGACTAGTGAAGCCCCTTTCCTATCGACAAGCAACGCGACATGAAGAAACATACCCGCCCTTCTCGATCAACGACAGACAAACTCGCATTTCGACGTGAACTACCCTACTCAATCGACGAACAACACACCAAACAACCTCTAATCACTAACTTTTCGGGAGGAACAAACAACTGAAGACAATTAAAGCAAAAACACTTCCACGCACATTTGCGAAGTTTGAATGAATAAATTCCTGAACGAATCCGCGAAAAAAACATTCCACACATTCTGAAATTAATCAGAACCAGTGGGGCCCCACGCGCATCCCTTTCGAAATGTTCGTGCTTTACCTCTTGGATTCGATTCGGTCTCCGAACAAAGATCGCCGGACGAATATATATATATATATATATATATATATATATACACATACATATATATACATATATATACATATATATATATATATTCGCCGAGTGGTGCGCGAAGCGTAGCAAGTGAAACACGCAGGGAAGCTATACAGTGAAAGCGAAAGCAACAGGCATAGCGGGCCAGGTGCCGCCAATACAGTTGCTACAGACGAGCACGGCCAACGGTTGAGCCGTCAGCTCGGCGAGCCGGGCCTTTCGCCAAAGCATGGGAGTGCCCCGCGCGCTGGGCCTCGCGACGAAGCTCCTGATCCATGAAGTCGAGCTTCGCGACGACAGAATCCAGAAGCGGTGGGAAACGCTTGCGGTTTGCCCGAATTTCGTCCCAGCACTTGGGCCGGCTCGAATCGCACAAGTGAGACAGGAGACGGAGGCGGCCCCCGAACGAAGTGCCGCAAGCGAGGCACGTGGCATCAGCTGGCGCCCAAAATCGTTGCAGGCACTTTTGGCCACGCTTGATGCGCATATGCTGACTCAGCGCCTTCGCAGACGCGAAGCGGCTGTCACAAATCGCGCAGACATGCGGGCGAGTGCCGCCAGCCGTAGACGCTGGAGCGGCAGCGGCGGCATCGCAGCACGAGTCAACGAAGTGAAGGGCGCTCACCGCACCGGACCAACGCCCGGGAGAGGCCAAAATGAACTCAGTCCATATCGATGCGCCGGCTGTGGGGCAAGGGAGGTGCGAGCATAGTGCAACCAGCTCCCGTAGCTTCAACATGTCCGTGGTCAGCAGCTGTGCCCAAGGCAACGGTCGATCTTTGGGACGCGTGCTCAGCATCGCCAGCAGGGCCGACGGCTGCGACCGCAGCAAGCGGCCAAGATACCGCAGACGAGCGCGCATCATCAAGCAATCGACGCTCGCCCTCCCAAGACGATCGCGTACCGTGACATCGTGGACAGTGTGCCCAAAGCGAGGCGCCCCGGCGATCCTCCGGAGAACTCGCATGTACACGGCGTTGATGGTGAGAGTGAACCGTCGAGTCGGCACGAGGATGTGGACATTGTGCAACAACCGGCTCAGGATCAAGCTTTGCATCATCCAAAATTTGAGGTCGTCGGACACCACGGGGCTGCCGAAAAGCTTGGTTGCAAGCGGGGCGTAGCTCTTCATGGCCGCGCCGCGAAGATGCTGAGCAGCAGGGCCGAGCGAGCCATTGGAGCACAGGGCGCCTCCGAGATGGGTGTACTTAGGGACGACATGCAAGAGCACGTTGCGACCAGGAACCGCTATCGCAAGGCCACCGCCGCGCTGGACGCGTCGCTTCTCCAAGCACGAAATGGCGCCAGTGCCGCGATAGACCAAGAAGCATTCCGATTCGCCAGGCTTCCAATTGATCGTCAAGTTCATGCTCTCGTAAATATTGCAGACTGCCGTAAATATGACGTCGATCGCGCTGTCGAGGTCGGCCGCGCGGGGGGCCGTCAGCATGAAGCACTCGTCGTCGACGAATGCGGCGTCGACCACTGGCATGGTGTCTTCGGCGTGGTCGGCGCCGCTCTCTGGCGGCGCCCAGAACGCATCACGCCCTTTGGGCAGCCGCAGAATGATGCCAGCGTCGAGCAAGGCATCCCGGATCAAGACCATGGCCAGGGAGAACGTGCTGTTGAATACCATGGCGCCGTACTTGCAGCCCTGACGGCCGCCGACCAGCGCGGCGACGGCGGCGTCGCAATCGCCGTAAGAGAACCACGAGGCCGCGTGCATGTTCTTGAGCAGCCGGATCACCTTCGGCGACACGCCCCACTGCTCGAACAGGCATCCATGGCGAGCAACCCAAGTAGCAATCCACTGGGCCTGATGATCGCTGAGACCAAGGTCTCGTAGATATTGTTCTGGGTCTGTGGCGGCATGGGGCCAGCCCAGAACGATCTCGCGCACGACCCGGTCAAACGCCTTGACAAGGTCCACGAACCAGACGAAGCATGAGAGCCCCTTGGCGGTGCAGTAGTCGCAGAAAGACCGGGCGAGGTGTGCAGCGAGGTCGGTACCGCGGCCAGCAACAGCCCCATGCTGGGACTCAGGCGTGTGGGCGTTGTACACGGGGGTCACGAGGCCACTGAGGAGCTGCTTGAAGCCTTTGGCCGCGTGGTCCTCGAGGACAATCCCGCGGGACTCGTCGCGCTCCTCGCGCGGCCCCTTCTTCTTGTATACGTTCTGCATGCGCCCGCCTGTCCAGGAGGTTGGCCAGCGCTCGCCGTCGATGATGTCCTGGAAGATGGACGCCAGGGGTTCGTTGACGGCGTCGCCGCCGGCCACCAGCAGCTCCGAGGGGACGCCATCGCGGCCTACCCCCTTGTTGCGCCCAAGCTGGAGGAGCGACGCGCCCACGGCATCGGGGAGGACGACGATGCCGCTGGTGAAGGGGTCCGGCGGAGGCGTCGGCTTGAGCTTCAGCTCGGCCATGGTGACCGGCTTGCCATTGAAGACGTCCCGGACATGTTCCTGCCAACGCCCCTGCCGCTCCGCCTCGGTGCTGGACAGAGCTCCAGACTTCAGGCGGACTGGATGCGTGGAGGAGCTGGCGCTCCGACCACTGAGCGCGCGCACGATGCCAAAGGTAGTGCGCCAATCCCGGCGAACGGCAGCCAGCTGCGCCTCCTGAGCCTTCGTCTCGAGGAAGAGCTGGCGGTCGATGGATGAAGTGACGTACTAACGCTGTGAGCTGGCTGCAGAGGCGGGTGGTGGCGGCGTTCAGCAGGCGCCACTGCTGCCGGAGTGCTCGCAGGGAGGGGAGCACGCACTTGGCCGCCCAGCCCAATCGCGCGGGGGGAGCGTTAGTCAACGAGAACGTGGAGGGGCACAGGGCTGCCCAGCTCAGGAAGGCGAGGTGGCAATGCGCCTTGAAGATCTCGGCACGAGCCCGGTACATCGTCCTGCGCGACGGGGCCAGGGTACGGAGCAGCCGCCATGTGTCTCCAGATATCCACGGCTGGCGGGGTTGATCTTGCGGGCGGCCAAAGGCTTGCAGTGCCGAGGAGCGGACGTGGTCCATGAAGGTCGTGGTCTTGTCGTCAATGTCGCCATGGGTCGACAGACGCAGCTCGGACATGTGTCGCGCAAACTGCTGCACGCACGCGGTGTCATCGAGGCGCCACTTGTTGAAGCGGAACGGCGCGGGGGGGCCCACAGTGTCGCCACCACGCGTGGGGGCGGTCATGTGTGCAGCGACCATGCGGTGGTCCTCGCGTGTAGTGATGGACAGCTGAACCTGCTCGGGGACGTACACTTTGTGGACGGCCGGGAGGTCCACTAAAGGTCCGCACAAGTAATCTATCCGCGACGTGGGGCCCTTCCCAGAGCGCCAAGTATAGCCGACATTGAAGAAAGTGTTCAGGGCGGCCAGCTGGAGTTCCTGGAGCGTGGCGATAAGCGCAGCGCCGTTCTGGGAGATCTCCTCAGGGTCACACGGCCCCGTCGCGCCAGAGTGGTGCGGGCCAACACGTGCGTTGGCATCGATGCCCATGTAGATCTTGGCGGTGGGCGTGCGGCGTTGCAGGGAGGACATCGTGCTCGGCAGCGTGTCCCAGAATCCCTCGCGTTCAGTGGCTGGTGATGCCTCAGTGGGGGCGTGCGCGCTGACAAGGATCAGCGGCAACCCGCAAGCGTCGCGGCCTGTCAACCAGAACAGACGGGGGGACACCGTTGCGTACGAGGAGACTTTGAAGCCCGACCGGGCGCGAATCCAGATCTGGCACCCGTGGCCGCCGTCGTCGTCGCCAGCCCCGACATACATGGTGTAGTGGAGGCCCGTGTGAACCTCTTCGACACGAGCGCGCCCTTCCTGCAGGAAGACGTAGTCGAGGTGAGCGTCAATGAAATACTGCTCGAGGATCTGGACCTTCCCGAGCATGAGCTGGAAAGCGACCTGGACGCCAGCAGCGGATTCCTCATGCGGTCGGAGGGTGCAGACGTTGCCGGTGGCAATGGTCTGCTCGGAGGCGGTGCGCGGAGCTCGGCGAGAACTGCGCATCGTGGTAGCCGCGGGAGGGCCATGAGAGCCAGCCAGCGGTGTGCGTGTAGCAGTGCACGTAACGGTCTGGACGCCTGTGGCGTCCGCCTGTGGACAGCCGCTCCGGACCACATTTCGCGCCGGAGGCGGGGCGGAAATAGGAGAGGTAAGCAGCCCCCCCAACCATGAACATGAAGGTGGTGTACTTGAAACGGTAGTTGGCGGCACGGCGCCAGGCACATTACAAGCGCAGACGGCGTCTAGGGCTCCTGACCTGGGCCATCCGCTGGCACAGGAAACCCCACCGCCGACCCAGCAGCGCGGCGGCCTGCCGCGGAGCTGGCCGACGTGTCCTTGGTGATGGACTTCACGACCTTGCGCTTCGTGAAGTAATCGGTGATCAGCTCCTTGGGCTTCTGCTTGCCATGGTGCCGCACCAGAGAACCGCCGGCAGGACCGCGCACTGTCGTGGGCGTCGCAGCCGCAGTCGCCATCGTCTTCACGCTGTAGCCGGCAGGAGTGGGCTGGACCCCCGCGGCAGCAGCACGAGTGGCCGCGGCCTGGTTCAGCGTGGCCTGGAAGCACTCGAAAAGCTGCTGGACGTGCTGCGTCGCTGCCTGGACGTGGCCAGGGTGGACGTGCTCGTCCTGCTTCAAGTGCTCGATCATCTGGTTCAGGATCTCGAATGCGTGGGACGCTGGGGCAGGCGCCTCCACCGCCATGGGAGGGGCAGCGGCCAGGGACGCCTCGAGCTCGCTCAGCTCGGCCTCCAAGGCGGTCACCTCGTCGGTGGACTGCTTGACCAAAAGCGTGGACGCCTTGAGGGCCTGCTCGGCCTCCTCGCGGCGAGCCCGCGCACGTCCCAGCGCAGCCCTCGTGCCGTCGATGCGGGCGCCGATCGGCTTGGAGCCCACGATCTGGCGCTTGTAGTCGTCGAGGCGCGTCGTGAGCGAGATGCGCTCGGAAGCCAACTCGGCATCGTCCTCGGGGATCGTAGCCAGAACATGCTCGAGCTGCTTGACGCGGGCCTGGAGCTGGGCTTTGGTCAGCACGTCGCCCTGGGAGTGGACGGGATCCTTCGCCGGCGAGCGCTCCGCAGGCGAAGTAATAGTAGGTGACTCGTGGAGCTTGGTCAGCGTGTCCGTGATGGTGGACAGCTGCGCGCGCACTGGGTTCTGCTGGGATGCAGCCGTGGGAGGTGTAGAAGGTTTGGGGCCGTTCTTGACCACCTCGCCGTACGTGCGCTTGAGCCCGCATGTCTGGCACGCCTTCGGACTCGTGTTCACGTGGTGGCACTGGCTGCAGGTCCAGGAGCGCGCGGTCGAGGTCGACGACTGGTTCCTGGCAGAGCCGTGAGCTCCAATGTAGTGCCAGTGACCACTGGGGTCGCGCTTCCACTCTGAGGTAGAAGGCGACTGCGCCGGACCATTTTGGCTCAAGCCATTTTGGCTCAAGCTGCACCAGCTTGAGTTGATCGTAAGTCTACATCCCGATCTACAGTGCCCACTTTGCGAACGTCCCTCTTATTGTGATCCTCTCAGCTGGGGCTGAGCCGATGGCGCAATGGACTCGGCCGTCTCGCGGGCACTCTTCTTCTTCTTATATATATATATATATATATATATATATATATATATCCGCCGGCCCCCTTGTGGGGCCACCAGGCTGTAGGCGCGGGTTCGCAGTTTCCAGTACCAGTTGTAGCTTGTAGTTTCCAGTGTTACAGTTCTGCTTCTTGCTGGTTACTGTAACTAGTTGATTGACCGCGCGAGGGGGGGGGAGGCCCAAACAGGATTTTTTAGCACCCCCTGGGCGCGTTGTCTGAATTGCTGGGGGGGCTCGAAATCGACACCCCTCACGCAGATCCGCGGGGTCAGGGTCAAAAAACACAGGGGATTTGCCACATTTCTGAAATTCGGTGCCACCCCTCACGCAGATCCGCGGGGTCAGGGTCCAAAAACACAAGGGATTTGCCACATTTCTGAAATTCGGTGCCACCCCTCACGCAGATCCGCGGGGTCAGGGTCCAAAAACACATGTGATTTGCAACATTTCTGAAAGTCGGTGCCACCCCTCACGCAGATCCGCGGGGTCAGGGTCCAAAAACACATGGGATTTGCCACATTTCTGAAATTCGGTGCCACCCCTCACGCAGATCCGCGGGGTCAGGGTCCAAAAACACAACGGATTTGCCACATTTCTGAAATTCGGTGCCACCCCTCACGCACATCCGCGGGGTCAGGGTCCAAAAACACAGGGGATTTGCTACATTTCTGAAATTCGGCGCCACCCCTCACGCAGATCCGCGGGGTCAGGGTCCAAAAACACAGGAGATTTGCCACATTTCTGAAATTCGGCGCCACCCCTCACGCAGATCCGCAGGGTCAGGGTCCAAAATACAAACATTTGCGACATTTCTGAAATTCGGTGCCACCCCTCACGCACATCCGCGGGGTCAGGGTCCAAAAACACAGGGATTTGCCACATTTCTGAAATTCCGTGCCACCCCTCACGCAGATCCGCGGGGTCAGGGTCCAAAAACACAGGGGATTTGCCACATTTCTGAAATTCGGTGCCACCCCTCACGGACATCCATCGCAAGGCGTGGTAACCCAAACTGCGAGTACTCCCTCGGCCCTTTAATCCCAAGGTGTGGTAACCAAGCTCGTAAACCATACACGTCTTACCAATCGCCCTGTGTGGTAACCCCTCTTGTGATCAGGTGGTTTTGCCGATTGCGAATCGGCCTCGCATGAAGTTCCGATACTGCTGCGCGACAGCGCCAAAACCTCATGACTTAGCTCTTCCATGGCCCATTCTCCGAGAGAGGGGGCCGGCGGCAGGGGGCGAAGCCCTTACGGATATATATATATATATATATATATATATATATACACAAAACCCCCAAATCCAGAGAACCGGTTGAAAAGCCATTGGTTTTCCAATCGGAATAGGGGCCGATGGGGCCCCACGCGTATTCCTTCCAAAATGTTCCAGATCAATAGAACTGGTCAAAAAACCATTGGTTTTCCCATCGGATTCGGGGCCGACGGGGCCCTGCGCGCATTCCTTCCGACATGTTGGTGTTTTACCGCATGTCAAGTGGCGGCCGCGACGAACGACGGCATGAACCTGGATGACTTACCCACTAGCGCCGCGCGGCGGACGAACGACGGGGCGAACCTGGCACTACTTACCTACTTGTAGCCGATTATAAGCCCCTCTCATGGAGGAGGAGGAGGACGACGAGGAGGAGGAGGAGGAGGAAGAGGAGGAGGAGGAGGAGGAGGAGGAGGAAGAGGAGGAGGAGGAGGGGAGGAGGGGGAGGAGGGGAGGAGGAGAGGAGGCCAGGAGGAGGAGGAGGGGAGGAGGAGGAGGAGGAGGGGAGGAGAAAGGGGAGGAAGAGGAGGAAGAGGAGGAGGAGGTATGGGGGAGGAGGAGAGGAGAGGAGGAGGAGGAGGAGGAGGAGGAGGAGGAGGAGGAGGAGGAGGAGGAGGAGGAGGAGGAGGGGGGGAGTGCTGGAATAAAAAACAGGCGGAGGAGGAGGAGGACGAGAGGAGGGATGGAGGCGGAGGAGGAGGAGAAGAGGAGGAGGAGGAGGAGGGAGGAGGAGGAGGATGGATAGGGGAAGGAGGAGGCGGCGGAGCGCGGGGAGGAGGAGGAGGAGGAGGAGGAGGAGGGAGGAGGAGGAAGGGAGGAGGAGGAGGAGGAGGAGGAGGAAGAGGACGCGGAGGAGGAGGACGAGGAGGAGGAGGAGGAGGAGGAGGAGGAGGAGGAGGAGGGGGAAGGGGAGGAATGGAATGGAAAGACCCGAAGGGAAAGTGCACGGCACCAAAATCTAAACGAGCTGGAATTACTTGCCTGCAGAGGCTTCCTTCAAACGAATCCTCTCGATCAGAGCAGCCATGGGCTGCTCATAAGAGGGAACCCCTGAGGCTGAGAACGACCTGGACACCTCAGTCGAGTCAGGGACCGCAAAAAAACTCCGAGGGGGCAACCATCTCAACCGTGGGGTAGCGAGGGAGGACGACGCTACGACCAAGGAGGGCTCTGGCCTTACGGTTCGGTGGCTTCCCCTGGGCATAGCGGTTTATAACCTCCTGACCTTTCTTTGTGGGGTGTTGGCCAGGATAAAGACACGGCCGAGCAAGCTTTAGGGCTCTACCCTGGGACCACCCCCCACATATTAAACAAATCCAGAACTGCTTCTCAAGGACCTTTCTATCAGCACCACCCGAAGCTCGAGCCGACAACCCAGCCGCGACGACGACGTGCCCCTTGGGATCCTTGAGGAGCGGTCTGATGTTGGGGGGGACCCCCGTGCAACCATTGAGGGGAAGCTCAGCTTTGTCCTCACCCTCAAGACTGAAACACTTAGCACAGCGGAGGCCTGCAGGTCCATCAACCCATACATGCCAGTCCTGTTGCACTCAATGTGTCCGTCGCCTGCGGCGGTTGACGTCGGTGCTCCTATTCCACCGAGGCGTGACCTCAAACAGCGGCAGGACGGCGGCAGCCAGCTTACAAAAGTTGGCAGCTCGTTCCACGGCCACCTCTAACTCCTGCAAGAAAGATGGGTCGGCAGACGGGTGAGATCGGACGGCCTCTTTCGCATGGTGATCAACAATGCGGTTGGCCTCAGCATATTCTCGCTCATTCTGCTCCAACGAGTCAATCATATCCTGAGTCCGATGCGCCTTGACATGCCGCACCTTCTGTATGAAGGCTGTGCCCTCAAGCGTGTGGGCGAATTTCCGGATCCCTGCAAACTTGCTGCGCACTGAGACCTGCTGAGCCAAATCGTTTTGCGCGAGCTTTATCGCAGACATGCCACACCTACGTGCTCAGACATCGCAGGCGTCTGAGGAAAACTGCCGTGGACAACTCCACGCATCACACATACTGGAAAGGAGGAGGAGGAGGAGAAGACGAGGACGAGGAGGAGGACGAGGACGAGGAGGAGGAGGAGGAGGAGGAGGAGGAGGAGGGG